TGTTTTGTTGCTACTAAATTTTGATAGAATGATAAATGTTTAGATTATTTTAAGTGAAAAAAAAATTGCTTATGCGATCATTGAAGGTATGAGTTACACATTTACGCATGTTTTTTAATCATAAAATTTATTTCAAGAATAATAAGACAGAAAATAAATACTAGTTCATATTAACATTAATGTAAAAAAGCGTGAAGGGCGAATAATTCTTATAAGTAGGTCGTAATCTAATGTACTAAATATAATTTTGTTAAGGATATTGAAGTAAGAAAAAAAGTAATGATATTAGAAAATTGTTTAACAGTAAAGGATTCGTACATATAACATATTGTCATGAACGACATATAAATATATCAACTTATTAAACGTGGTCATGTCTACATTTACTTTTTTTACTGTTTTTGGTATTGCATCAATAAATTTTTTTTTTTTTGATAATTGGAGACTTCAGACCTATCCAAAGTAATGAGAATGATTCCGGTCAACATCTTTTTTGCGCATCAGAAAAAAAAAATTGAAGTTAATGACTCTCATCTAAAGCGTCAGTCATTATAACCATTCTACAAAAGTTTAATATGCATATGCTCCGCTTCCAAATAAGACTTAACCGAAAACGTAAACACTAAACTACAATATCATCAGGCACTACTGAGTGAATTTTGTACCGAAATTTTGCGGCTCTTTTAACATGGGAACATCTGCCAATTATTCCTAGTTAGATCCTATCCAGAGACTGACTGAAATAGCAGATAGGTATTTCCGTTGCAATTAGACCAATCAGAAATTCTTACTTTCCCGCCATTTTTTCACAATTAAACAAATCTTCTACAGCTTCAAAATCACCTCTTAGATGTTTCTTTTTTAAGAAAAAACTTGTATACTTAATGTTGTAATGGATAATCGCAATCTTTACATTCACCTGCCCATAGACCCTTGTTTATTCTTTTATTAAATTGCGCTTCAGCTTAATATTAGTTACAACTGGGCAAGAATGAGGTCCGATATTCAGTTTTTCGATATTGACAAACAGACACAGGTTTCCAGAGCAGTTTCATAAAAAATAATTATTAGAAGAAATATCTCTGGTTTTTCCTGAGCGAGTCGAATTGCGTTTTAGCCGAACAGAAATAATTACCTGTACTTACAACATTTCATTCCGTTAGATGCTGGCAATTTTCAATACTATACAGCTATATTGAATTATTGTTAAGTTTCAAAGTAAATACATGAACAATTTAATATTTAGAACGATACAAATTAGTCAGCTATGTTAGTTGTTTAAATAATTACCATGTACTTTTATGGCAAATTTGTTGTACATAATGCTTATGGTGTTTTTGGTTATGATGTCTGATTTCGTTCTTGGCAGCTCAGTATCTTATCTGCAATAAATATTTTCCGTCTGGTCATGCAATAAAAGTTGTTTGTTTTTTATGGAGTAAAGTTAAGACTTTGTTTATATATTTTATTTTCTATGATCAGGGTATGTTGTATTGTTACTCACAACAAACACATGGAAGTGTCTGTGAAACATGTGTAAAAACACGTTTTTATCTATTTTTCATTGTCGTGTTAGAGAGTCTAGGTCCTTATAAATTGTTTTGGATAATGTATAAGGCAATTACTTGACTGTAATGTGTTATGTGCGGGTCTCACAACTGTTCTGTTGTAGTTGTTCTTATAGAAATAAGTTTATTAATTTTCTGCAAATTGTTATACTAGTTGTTTAAGTTAGTTCAACTAACTAAAGGTAAACCATATAATTGTTCTTCTTAGTTACCTTGGTCTATGGTTTTATTCTGGTTTTATAACAATGTTATAGTATTGTCTCAGTAAATGATTTTTATCTAGACTAAGTATTTTTATCTTTCTGCTCTGCTATAAATGACATATCCGAAACGTGTTTCCATATTTCGAAATCTGTTAAAGTTTATTTGATTCCTTTAATGAAGTATGTGTTGTAAAAATAAGTACATATCATCTCTTCAATTGAAAATACCGGTAACAGCATTTAGAATTTTTACATTCACCCCAATAAATGTGTAAGCAATAAGAATATGAATGTGACAATATTATTCAATGCAGTTTAAGTAATGTTATAACAAATTGAATAAAAAGGAATATATCAATAAAGGAATATTCTATAATGAAGCATTTGATTGGTCTATAATGGAATGATCATGAAGATAATTGATTCTAATATTTTCATCTTCAAAGATCCTGTAACACAATTTTCTTATGGTTTTATATCATAGATTTAATGCTCAAATGAAGTTTTAACAACATTGTAAGTTCCAAAAAGCATTATTTGTAAAGATATTACCGAATTTACATTTCATGTTAAAAAGGGAGGTGATTAGAGATTTTTTTCTATAATTTTTCAATAAGAAATGAATGCATAAATTTTAATGATTACATAATTATAATGTGGACAAATATTTGCAGTACATATTTCACACATTCTTCGATGTTCGAAAATTGCTATAGAATCATTATTATGTGCATATATGAAATTTCACTTAAGTGTTGTTACAACATACAGGATCTTTCATATATGTAATTCTAAATAATGAAGAAACACGAGGGAAAAGATACAGATTTTCTGATAGTTTAGTGTTGAGTAAAGTATCACTTGACTCATATAAATGTACCGAGGAAATTGTAATGTTAGTTTCCTTTAAAACCATCAGCAGCAGGGGAAAATAAGTGTTGTTTTTTTGTTTGTTTTTTTATTTATTGTTGTTTTTTTTTGTTTTTTTTTTGCAATTATCTTCCGCCTTTATTATGATCAAAGACAAGATATTCTAAATTTAGAGTTTTTATTGTTGTTTGCGCCTTGTATCGACACACAAACATCTGAAAATGAATGTTTTCATAATCTGCGTTCATCATTCAAAGATTAAAGTTTACATTTTAAGTAACTTCCTATTTCATAAAGATGTTTATCCGTCGAAACAAAATGCCTTACAATTTATTTACATTACATATTACTGGCTATAATTATAATTATATAGATTAATGCGAAATAAATCACTGATTTGAATTCTTGTATATATTCTTTGATATCAATGTGGCTTTTGTTGTTGTTGTTTCGTTTTTGTTTTGTTTTTATCTCTAATTTTAATTCCTTTCTGTATTTATAGAAAGACAATTAAACATTCAGTATTTTCATGACAGACATGATTCGTAAGTGAAGAAGAGAAATATGAATGTTTTAAATATATTTTTACGATATTTTTTATTCACTTTTTTAATTTTCCTTTATACGTGTTGTGTTTATTACGTCGTTCAAGATTTAAGCGGCACGCCTCCAGATTCATGCTAATTTTCATGAAAATTTTGAAAATGTCTTTAAAAGTATTATTTAGTGAAATAACCAAACGGAAACAATTTACACAGAATCAATGACACTTACAACCCACGTAAGTTACTAAAAAGAGGACAAAATATGCAAAAATAGCCCTTACTGTGTTAGTAACGCAGTAGAAATATAGTTATAAATACTGAAAAATCGTTCATTAATCGCACATAACATGTAAATTATTACTAGAACTTTGAATCTTTACACTTTTCCTAAAATCTTAATACATTTTTCTCAGGTTTGATTTTATTGAAATATGTTCTCTCATTTGGAGGCGTGCAGCTTTAAAGCAAAACAAACTATACAAGAATCTAACCAGAAGTTGAATTACCTCATTGAATTTAGAAATTAACCCGGATCCTTATGGTATTGTTATTTTAATATCTGTCTTCAGAACAATCAAGTAATTTATAACAAAGAAACAAACTAACAAACAAACAACGAAATTCAATACACTTTAAAACTTTTAAATGAGATTTGAAAAAAAAACGATAAAGAATAAGATATATAACTTTCGATTCGCACTATTAATTACTTGCTTTGTTAGAGTTGCGCTTTATAAATAGTAAAATATGATAAAGACAATAGCACTAGATATTATATTGCACGTTTTTGTAAACATTTGTAAGTGTTGATTATTTTAAGGGTTTAAATAATTTAATTTTAACGAGTTGACGGGCAAGCAAATTTGTTTAAAGCTCATCAATTATAGCTATGATTTTCTTACATGTACATTATATGTGTTATTCTTGTGAATATAAAGTTTTAATATGTCGCGAAATATAATGTCAGCGTCTTCGTCGTCGTCTGCATATTTGACAGGGAAACGATGTACCGACGGTCATGTTGAGGTATTTTTTATATATTTTGTTACGTTTTGATTTATTTTTTCTTCAATTTCGAAATAGATAACTATGCCCTATCAGTGTCTTGGACTTATACATTTTTTAATACAATAAATACATGTGTTTCAAGAGAAATATAAGTAAGAATCTTATACATAGAAAATAGAAAGTATGAACAAAAAAGAAATGAGTAAAATAAGCACAGTGTTTCATTGGTGACGACACTGTTTGATTTAAGATCAAAAGATTAAAGATAAAAGATCAACTGTTCGTAAAATTGAGTTTTACATATTGTATAAAGAAGAATCAGCTCTTTTTTTTTGTAATATAAACAAATTATTTTTATATGAATATTAGACTGGCTTCAAAAATTACATCAAAGTTTAAGTGGTTATAGTACTGGTTTCCGGTTACATTGATCGTAAGTAAATTGAAATGCGGTAACGGTGTTATGTCCCTGTCTGTCAAATCACTAATGTGTATTAAAAAAATCCCTTGGGTTTTTGGTTTTAGCTACGAAGCGGTAACCCTTCTATTGTTCCCTTTCCCCAAAAAAAAATATAAATGTAAATAATTACGAAAACAGGGGGATGTACAGTTGTTTAAAATTTAAATTTTTTTATTCATTGGGTTAAAAATTTAAAGTTTTTTTTTACTTTAAAAATATTTTAAAATCGGGAAATTCTGTTTCACGCGTTTGACTTTTGATAAATTTTCATATTGATTTACCGGTAGTACATAATTGTTGTTAATAAAACAATTATATCTCCTTTAGTTTAAACAATATTTATTTCAATTTAAACAATATAAATACATACAGTAAGCACATGCAAACGCACTAGATCTAATAGATTTCGCGGATCTCCTTTTTTAAATTTACTGATTAAAATATTCAACATTATACATGTATGTGTTTCAATAGCCAGACACTACTTCTAACATGTGACAATTGTTATCTCCCTTGAGATTCCGAGGATTAAAAGATTCAAATTTACGGCAAATAGACTTACTCTTTCTTGTTTTGGAAGACTAGATTCTATATTGAGTCTTATGATACATTTTTCAGATTTTTAGATTTGTATTTTGATATCAAAACTTAATAAGAATACTTAAGAATTATGTTTTATGTTTAAAGTTTGACATCTGGAATCTCATCAACCGTAAGACACAAGAGAACGCGTTCTGTATGACGTCAAAATTTCGTATTGGCGCAAAAATACATCGAATAAGTACGACAAAGGTACATCGTGAACGTCATTCCATTGAAGACGTGAAAACCGTGCATGATGACGTCACGTCGTCATCGTCGTCAGACTGCAGTCAAGATTGGAATGACTTCGATGATGAGGAAGATGGTATGTTGTTGTTGTTGTTGTTGTTGATGATGATGATGATGATGATGATGATGATGATGATGATAATGATGATGGTGGTGATGATGATGATGATGATGATGATGATGATGATGATATTTCTTTGTTATTTCATCTTATTTTGCTGGTATTGTTTCTAAAATCAAAACCATATTCATTGATACATTCCAAACCTCACATTCAAAACAAACATATATGTGTTTTTGTTGTTATTGGTATTGGTGGTGGTGTGCTTATTGTTGTTGTCGTTGTTTTTAATACATAAAGATATTAGCAAGATGTTGATAATTTTTGACATAATATTTTTTAAATTATAATCTTTGAAAGATAGATTCTATATTAAGAACGTTATATAGTTTAGCTTTTTTATTTCAGATTTGGTTGACTTGTATAGAATGATACAATCGAAGCCTACGCTGTCGGCTGCTGCGGGAAGCATTGTCACACTGACAAAATCCTACAATATCAATAGACCTTTCTCCGGAAGTAAGATGACGTCATTTCCTGTTTGTGCTGTTGTTTTACAATATATACCACAGTTTCCTCTTAAAAATTTAAACGCGTCTGAATTAAAACATGATAATAACAACACTAATCTGTCACAACCTTAACCCATAACATGTTGTATTTCTTAAATGGAATTTTCCAGCTTCCATTTTGGGTGTTTTTTATCATTTTTAATCACTTTTGGGGATATCAAAATAAGAATATTTGAAAGTATAGATCCTGGACAGGAAGCGCGGATGTGCAGGCTGGTCTGGCTTCTTTACTAGGGATAAAGGTAACATCAAGAAAAGTGTTCATGGATATGCACTTTTTAATAAATAGTTAAATCTATTTATACTAGTAAACGGTCCGAAAAGAGGGGTGATGTCGTATGTTTTGAGTATGTGTAACATTTGGCCTTTTTGGACGATTTTCGCTAATATAAATGACAAAAAAAATTGTCAGATTGTCAGATTGTTTTATCATATTACCGAATAGACATGATATAAATTGGATTGTACTATACAATTGACTTCAATGAATACAAATGAAACTTTGCAGTAAAATGAAGTCATTATATGAAGCAGATATCTTTTTATCTTGATTGTTTTTATTCTTACATGAAACAGTCTTTCATCATTCACCATTAATCAAAATTCAAATGGAAACAAAATATGCTTTCAGTACTTCCGTTTTCAACCAAACCCGTTTAAATTGTTAGGGTGAACAAATTGTTATTTGTATTTGTAACATAAATTATATACTAGGAAATCATTTGCATTTAGGTTATATAAATGAACATTTAAATGCCACCATGCACAAACTTACTGTAAAACATAACTGTTTTATTTCACTTTTTTGTTTCAGTCGAGTCGGACGTGGTGTCGGAAATATCAGAAAAGGGTACTCGGGCGCAAAAGCTTTACTTAAAACGTTGTGCAGATTTTCTAATAACGCCGTCAAAGATCTTTTTAAAGGCACTTCCGGCTGTTGTAGTTGACATTGCGCATCAGAACATTGGTCCTAAAGGTGCAGAGGCCTGCGCAATCGCTTTATCGGTAAGAACAGGACATATACCAATATTGTTTGATCTTTTTTGCTTTGTGTTTGTGGCGCCGTTACATGTCGCAACGCCGCTACATGAAGCACTTGACGTCAAATGCCGCTATATGTCGCAAGGGTGCTAAATGTCGCAGTCGCAGTCAAATAACGCACCAATGCCGCTAAATGTCGCTACCGCGGCTAAATGTCGCAAAACATCGGCCGTTAAATGTCGAAATGATAACGTTAAAATGTCGCAATATTTCCCTTGCCGTTACTTAAATGTCACTAGCGTTTAATGGCGCAAGATTTCTATATTCATGATAAAATTGAGTTAGCTAGTGGTATTAAATTACAATAAATATTGAGTACTAAGTAAATTGTCTGTACAAATTTACACGGGGGAGGAACTGTTACACGGAGGATGTAGTTCTTATGATAACTTGCCAGGAGTTCACTTGATAACTGTCAAACGTCTGTATATACCGAAGAACACTCGTAAAAAATGGTAATTTTAATCTTTGAAAAAGAGAATTTGAGGTGATAAGTTAAACTTATTGTTTTATAGTCAGGAAAGTCCATTTTTCATAGCATTCAGTTTAAAATCTGGTAGTTATGAGAAAACTTTCCAAATTATCTAGTCTTTTAACTGTTCATTTGTGATCTTCTTCCTTGTCATATCTTATTGCCTAATTATAATAGTTGCAAACATAAAGTCCCGGCTAACAAATTTTAGCACGATTTTTCAAATGTCCTATTGTTCGGTTCGTCTGATAGCTCTGAAGATTTTCTAGAGTTCTTCTGCTGCCAGTATGTTTTTGCTTGCGCTACGTTACGGCACGTTTAAGCGTGTTTTTATTATTCAATAAGGGTGTAAATCATCTACTTGTCCCTCACCACAGTGGGTTAGAAATCCGCTAGAAGGAGAAATAAGATATATTTAGTCAACTCCAAATAATAGTCTTATTTCCCTTAATAAGCCTTTAAAAACTTCTTATTAAGAGCTACAAAGTTCTTATTAGTTTTTTTTATCCTAATTATGAGTAAAAATTCCTTATTAGTTGCAACCTTGATTCTCTCCTATTTTAAAGAATCAAAGTCATGATTAGGGTTTTGTAGCTCTTAATCAAAAGAAAACAAATCCTTATTAGGCTTTTAAAACTCCTAAACAGAAATAACAAAGTCATTATTAGTCTTTAAAAACTCGGTCCTTATTACTAATCAAAAATGTTTTTAAGACGTTAAGAATTGGCAACACTTTTGTAAAGGTTGTCATTTTAATAAAGATTTTCGACCATGCGACCACATACATGCATCGATGACATGGTGTTAAGAAAGTGACCGTGCGACCACATATACGCATCACAAGATTCCCCTTCTCTTACAAAGATGTCCACACTTTTATTAAGTGCAGACTTTAAAATTATGCCGTTTCCTTATTATTAAATATTAAATGATAAGGAGGCTAATTTTCACAGTTGGTGGTGTGTTGGTAGTTTTCACTCCGGATCACGACAGTAAGCCACGTTGAATTCACAAGAGCACAGTTCAAACCACCGCATCGTTCCAGGGCAGGCTGTCAAGCAGTTTTCCAGTACTAGTTACTTCACTTTCGCAAGGAATTGAAACTTCTGTACATGCCAGAGCAGAGGTACAGTGCGAATGACCGTAGAAAGGATTTCATGATCAATTACAACCAAAGCGACATGCGCCGTTCGGGAATTAAACCCGGGTCGCCCGATTCACAGTCCAACGTTCTACCTATTGAGCTAACCGGACGGCTTATTTTTCACAAATGTTTCTTAAATTTGTTTATATACGACAATAGTAATGCAAATCAAGCGGGTTATCAGTTTACGTCTTTTTATGTCTGCCATGAAATTTTAAAACGATCGTATATAAATTCTTTGAAAATTTTGAGTTTACATTCTATGTAAATAACAGAATTATTTTAACATTGCTGAAAATGAACGTTTCAAAAACATTTTATATGCATTAAATATGGGAGATATATTTCACACTTTGCAAACATTAACCTTGGGGCATTTTTGCCAAAAAGGCAAATAATTTCTATATTCGACTTATTCTACTGTTAAATGAAAATGTTTTGTGGTGAAATACAAGAAGAAATAAATTTAACTTGAACTGCCGCCAATGAAACAAATTTGCAAGACTTATTTTAACCCTTTCCCTCATGAGCATATTGTGAAAAATGGCCGTTTTCATTGAAAAGCCTCCTGTTACAAGTTCAAACTGCTATGAAACTATGAAAAAATGATTCAATGCTAATCAAACTTGGCACAAATGTTGACCAGACCATTGCCTTTGTAATAAAATGCTCAGTCTTAAATTTCATGTTACCATGGCAACGAGGGGACATCTCAAAATTGCCAAAAATCACTATTTTGCGTTGATTTTTTTTCCATCAAAATTGATTTCAAAGTGCTGCAACTTTTCAATGGATTGAGATAGAGTCAAAGGCTTTTCAGCGTTGGTTACCCATTACCTTATGACTGACCTGGGGTCTTTTTTCGCCTCTCACAAGCCTCTCACAAGCCTCTCACAAGTTCAAAATTTTCTTGGAGATGAGGGGGACTACCGCCCCCCTTCAAACTCCCCAAACAGAAGGGGGCACAACCCTCTTATACGATGTAGCAACGCCCTGATGTACCTTTTTGATAGGGGCGGTAAAAGAGATCACTTTTTAGCAACATTTCCCAAACGAAAAACAGTGTTTGGGGCCTAAATAGAGTAATTTTTCGCTGTTTGAGGCCTCAAAAAGGGGGGGGGGGTCGAAAAGCCGTCAAAACACGTCTATATGAAGTAAAGGGTTAACCTGTTGTATTTAAAAATACATCTGATTAGAACTTTGATTCTCCTAAAGAGGAGATATAAAGAAACTTAATACAATATGTAACTACTCATAATTAGGAGAAATGAACCTAATAAAACATTGTAACTCATAATAAGAAGTTTTAAAAGCCTAATTAGGAGAAACAAAAATACAGATATAAAATGTTAATTGGGAGGAGCTTCTAAAGACTAGATATAAAATAAAAAACCTAATTTGAAGGAAAGTATGTTATACCATAATTATAGTAATAAGTATCATGTGTTGTCATAAACCATGTGGATGTTGAAAATAAAATGTTCTAGAACAAAATATTAGTAACTCATCATATAAATGATATATTAAATCTTGTAAAACTAGATAAACATTTTAGTTTTAGAAATATTTTGTAACAATATCTAAATGATACATCTCCATTGTTTTAATCCATTTTTTTGGAAAGTAACCATTGTATATCATACCACATGAAAAAGCATTTTCTATCTTGAGTCGGCAGATGGTTCGGGACAGTCCTTTATGTCCAAAAGTTACCGAATATGTACAGACATTTACTCAACGTTACCACTAGCTAACTTAATTTTATGATGAATATATACAACCTGTTCATCTTGCGACATTAAACGATAGTGTTGCGACTTTTAACGGCAAGAGAAAACCGTGCGACATTAAACGTAATCATTGCGACATTTAACGGCAAAAGATTTTGCGACATTTAGCGACGGATACGACATGTAACGGTGCCACAACATGCTCGTAGGTGAAAATACAACACAAGTTATAAAAAAACTGATCTGATCTGAGATGAAATTTTTAATTTAACATTTCTATAACAAACTTCTCGGTGTTTTATGCTGAATGTGTAGCTCAAATCCACGACGTCTTGCTAAATCAATAATGTATTCTTATGTATTTTATAACCAAGGGGGTCTTTGGCATGACTTGTGGTCGTCCATTTATAATACCGACAAAGATGATTTCAGTTTCAACCAATCATTTTGTACATCACAGTAAATCCTTGACATAATACCAGATGTTTAACATGAATTTAGATATTGCGATATTAAACAGGAGTGTTGTGACATTTAACGATAATGAAAAGTGCGACATTTAAATTCATCATTGCGAAGTTTACCGGCAAAATATTTTGAGACATTTAGTGGAGGTTACGACGTTTAGTGGTAATATTTCGACATTCGGCGGCAAGTGCGACATTAAGCGTCGTTGCGACAAATAACGGCGTCATAGTAAATATTATGCGTCTTGACTAATAAAGCGCAAAAGTTATACTCTTTATATAAAATTACGTTTGATTAGCCATTAATGGTTACTTTTAGGACGATATAGGCAGTAAGATCTTTTGTTATTTCACACATCATTTAATGACATTTAATTAATAGAATATTAATATATTTCGTTTAAATTCACGCGTATTTTTATGACTTACATAGTAAAAAACATGACTGTGTGCTTTGTCGCGGGCATTCGATACGTCTGTTCTAGCAGCATATATTATTTGATAATTTTATACTTTTATTTGAATCTTTCAGCAAACGAGGTCAGTTCGTGTTGTAAACCTGAATGACAATGCCATCGGTCACAGAGGTGCCAAGTTCATGGCCATGATGCTGAAAGAGAATAAACAAATAACAGAACTGGTAGGTGTTGAATCTCATTGTCATACAGGATTTAAAACAAAATATTGCTAAATAACGACCATAGATTAATAAGTAATTTTATCTAGAATCTGATAAAACCCTTAGGGAAAGAGATCATTTGAGTGCAGTGAAAACAACAACATAAAAAACAACAAATAGTTTAAAGTGCATTGAATTTAAAGGGGTTGTTAATCAAGGTTGATGAAGAAAAGCAACATCTCTCACGCCCCATAGCATTGTCTAAAGCGGTATTCAGTACACACTTTATTAACTTGGTCAACTGCTCGTTTTGCCACGTTTCCGATTATATGTTTGACGATTAAATGAAACCAAAAGATGGATATGTTTTTTGTTGTTGTTGTTTTCGGAGGGTGATTTTTACACATGTAAAACTGCGTCGTATTATTTGGAGTACTTTTAAGGATGTGTTAAGCGGCTACATGTACATATTTCGGTTTATTTAACATATCCAATTTACCCTTTATCCTGCTCCCCAACTTGTCCAGCTTTGAAATTAGAACTGTCTGTTCGAATTTAAAGAGTTTTGAATATGACAATACATTATTAAACTATCGGCAGTATAGAGCCTGGTCAGACTGCATGGATGTGCCAGCTGACCTAGCTGTACAGTGAAGCACTTATGGTTTTAGCAGATAAGTGCTTGCATAGTTAATATTTCATTGATATATGTGGTAAAGCTGGTGGTAGGATTTTTTTAAGCAGGAAAAACTTGTGTTCTGTCCTAGTTTTTCGTTTATAATATTATGTTGTTTTTATACGACAGTCTCTCTCGGACAACAATATTGGTTCTCGAGGAGTGAAATATATCGTCAACATACTGATGGAAAATGACACTGTACAGAAACTGGATCTCTCAAGTAAGTTAGTTGTTCATAGTTTCAATTATTATTTCACTTTTACTAGGTGATGGAAATACGTACGCGTGTGTAAACAAGCAAATTACAATTCATTGTATTTTAGTATTGTTCTATTATATTATATTCGCTCTGCGTAACTCCGGTCCTAGAGTTAACGTACTTTATTTAGAGGTTATTAATACACTTGTTACTATATATAGTAACAAAATTGCCTATGATTTCAACTGATTATGAGTGTCACGTGACCTATTATGAGTTTGCGGCCCGGGGCCGAAAACTAGTTATCAACCCTCAGAACATGTGCACGTGCACAAACTGAAACAATGACGTCATATTTTACGTCATCAAACAGTTAACTGTAAAAGTGAAAGTAGGTTGTCAGCACGAATCGAAGAAATTTGAAATTTGAAATTTGAAGAAATAATACGACAAATTCATTCCGAAAAAATGAAAATAAAACTTGCTTCTTGATTCTACTGCTTTGAACACACAAACAGTAAACATCTCTGTACAGAACAGTAGAAGAGTAGACAAGAATTTCAAGGAAAGAACTTTAGTACAGTCCCTGAGGACCTTTTGTGTGCAAAAAAGGTCCATAGATAAAAGTTATACCAATGTAAAGCTAAATGTTTGAAGTTTACAAAAAATTTGGGTAGACATGTCAAATCATGGTACGTTTTGAGAAATCCAAGATGGCCGCCAAGATGGCCGCCAAATTATTAAAAAATGGCTAATACGCATTTTATCTGATAAAATTAGTTTTTTTTGTATTTATTTTAGTATAAATGATCTAAGAACTTCACATCCTGTTGGAACAATATGAAAATGGAGGCATTATCATTATTTTTTCATATTTTCTGAATTTCATAGATAAATTTGCTAAAAAATGCATGAAAAAATTATCAAAAATTGATATGGGGCTGACATTTTTTCCTACCAGCTAAGGCATAGCGGTGTAAATGAATATTTGTACCATATACTACAAAGACTTGAACAATATCATACTAATATCACCCTTATTTTTTATCTTTATTGTAAAAGAATGTGGATTCTGATATTCTTAAAGTGGGTGGGGTAACGAAAATTAAGTCTCAGTATTTTGTTAACTGGTTTGTTATGATTATTAAAACTAAGAATAGTGATCATGTATTGCATTTTGGCATGTACCTAAAGTTATAAATAATTAAGAAACTTAGACTGATATTTTGTTTATCAATATTCAACATGTTCTGTTGCCATGGCAACGGAGAAGTAAAATGAAAGTCACACCTGAAACGTATGACACTTTCAACTTTTAGAATTTTAAGAATGTTGATAAGAATGACACAAACTTAAAGATAAATAATCTGTGCACAACGCCATGTTAACAAATTGAATAAAATGAAACATTAAAAGAAGTCACATTTAATTCTAGCAAATTATCAACACAGATAACAGCCGATATTTTGAAATTAGATGAATAAATTTATTTCAAGAATTTGCATCATGCATTTGCTTTTTTCAAACTGCTATACATAGATAAGGTCATGTCAAATGTGCATGTTGTTATGTTTGGAAAGGATAATTAATGGTGATAATAATTAGTAAAAAAAGCAGTCTTGAGGTTGAAATGTATAATTATAAACATTATCAAATGTTTGAAACTGTACATAGCGTAATCATTTAAGACTTTGTAGCTAAAACGAGAAATAAATAGGTCACTGGTTCAAATTCTAGGTCAACCAATATCAAATTTTAATGACAATCGAATTTTTGTTGAGTTCAAACTTTTTGGTTGTAGCTTGTATTATGAAACTCTAACTTGCATTAGATTAAATTCTAGGTCAACTGATCTCAGTGTATAATTCTGCATCTGAAATTTTACAATCAAAATACAAAGAGGTCACTAGAACAGATTAAGGTCAGCTGGCATGTCATATTGTGTCTGTTATCCAAATTCCTTTAGCTTCAAAAACAAGAAAGTAGGTCACGAGGTCTTAAATTCTAGGTCACCTTATACCAGTGGGGCCATGATTTGAACAATCAAAGAAGAACACAAGACAATTCTTCCAACCAAATGGTCTTGCATTGTGGTTTCTGACATTACGAGTTTTTTTTTTTTATCAAAATCGACATCTAGGCAGGGCCATTTTTATGCTCTGCGAAAAATTTCGGGGGAGCATATAGTCGCCGGGCGTGTGTCCAAAACCTAGTCGAGGAGCATCACCCGGTACAACCGGCTCTAGTTTTAATCCAGACTCATGATCATTTTTTGATGCCTGCAAACTTAGCACTTCACGGAGAGTGTCGGCTATGAAGTCCAGGCGTCTCTTTTTCTACAGACAACAATTGATCTCGGACATTGAGTTTAACGGTCATTTGTCTGTCAAAAAAATTAGTACCGTAGCTTAGTAGAAATTGGTCATTACTCTTCTGTTTATTTATCCATGAAAGTCAGATAGTTTAACCAACCTTCAAGCTATCAACAAAGAAGTGTTGAAATTGGCGTATCACCCAGGTCCGGTCCTATCATGATTTGAAGAAACATGATAAAGTCTTCTAGAAAATATTTCACATGCTCTAACAATGGGGTTAAAGGGATGATTTTATAAAGGATTTTATATATAAGGTAGACAATGTAAATCAATTGACCCTTGGGAATGGTAATTATAATCAAACGGATCATGACTTAACCAAGCTTAGTAGTTGTGTATTATATCGTGACATAAATTGATATGGTCATAGAATGAATGCTTCACACTTAAATATCAAAGCATTTTATGTATGGAGAAGAAAGTTTTCAAAGCCTTTTCTTTATAACACAAAGTAAAATGACTCCTGGGGTTAGGTCAACATTGACCAGATTGTCAAAATTTGTCTTTTTGACAATGTTTTTAACCCAAAATCTAAGATCTGGGCATTTGGTTTTTGAAAAAAATATGATTTCAAAAAGTTTTCCTATATGTTTCCATATGAAATAAGTTGACTCTAGGGGTGGGTTAAATTTTCATTTGAATAAATTTTGTACTGGTCTATACAAGGCTACAACAGAAATAATTAGCTAAAGGCATCGATTTGGGAGAAGTTTTTTTTTAGCTTTTCCTATATGTAAAATGAAGTGACCCCTGACATAAATGAATTTGACCACAAGGTCGTGATTTAAGCAAATTTAATAGTATTCTATACTAGGTCCTGCAGTTATGGAGAAGAATTTTTTCATGTTTTTCCTATATGTACACTGTGTAAAGAAAGTTTACTCCGGGGCTTCGCAAGGATACTTCTTGACCTTTTACCAACCATGACCTTGATGTTGTGTCATGCATATCATAAGCACATAGTCTCATGATGGTGATTATTTGTGCCAAGTTATTTAAAATCGTCCATAAAGTCAAAAAGTTATGGAGAACATATAACCTTGACCTTGGTTGCAGAAACCTGGATGTTGAGGTCTGTAGATTGTGAAGTGGTGGGGATCATTTGTGCTAAGTATTTTTAAAACCTTTGAATTGTCAATAAGTTATAGAGCGGACATGAAAAAAAGATGTTTTTACATTGGACCGTTGAGTATGACCATGACCATCAGGGTTGTGACTTGATTATTGTGCTCTGCCAATGGTGTCATAATGTTGATCATTTCTGCCAAGTTATCTTAAAACCATTTCAGAGGTTTATAAGTTAGAGACAGACACGAAATGTAGACTTTCTCACATATGACCTGTAATTGTGACCCTGACCTTTGGGGTAGCAATTCAATTATTGCGATCTGCACATCGTCTCATAATGGTGATCAATTGTGCCAAGCTATTTAAACAAAATTTCATAGGTTAAAAAGTTATGAAGGGGACACGAAATGTAGATTTTTATACATTTGACCTTGACCTTTGGTGTAGCAACCCAATTTTTGCTTTCTGCACATGATCTTATACTGGTTATCAATTGTGCCAAGATATTTTTCAAAAATTTCAGCATGTCGGAGCGGACACGAAATATAGACTTTTTAACATTTGACCTTAAAGTGTGACCTTGACCTTTTGGGTAGCAACCCAATTATTGCGCACTGCACGTCGTGTCATAATGGTGATCCGTTGTGCAAAGTTATTTCAAAACTTTTCAGCATTAAAAAAGTTATGGAGCGAACACGAAATGTAGACTTTTTATTATTAAATGAAGACTTTTAACATTTGACCTTAAAATTTGACCTTGACCTTGGGGGTAGCAACCCAATTATTGCGCTCTGCATATTGTCTCATTATGGTGATTACTTGTGTCAAGTTATTTCAAAAAAATTTCAGCGGTTAAAAAGTTATGGAGCGGACACGAAAGTATTACGGACGGACGAACTGACAGACGTTGGCAATTCCTATAATCCCCTTTCCGCTACGCGGAAGGTGATAAACAATGTTGGTTTAGTCCCATCTGAAAAAGCCATACATATAAAAGCTCAAGATCTTTTTATTTATTTCTGGGAATATTTGAAAACATTACGCATTGTCAGTTCTATTTTTAACTTCTGTGACTAAGATATACAATAATCTGATTTGTGCCAAAAAAACAACAACACCAAAACAAAATTTCTGTCACATTTTATCAAATATAGCCTATTTTTACGTCACACCAACACTTTAAAAGGCTTTGTGGCGACTTTCCTGCTTTACTGAGGAAGACCTTAATATGTTTCCCTCCGTGCATTATTTCATAATATTGACACCTTCTGGTCATCTTTTAAGGCAAATCAGAATTACAAAGTCTATAAGAAAGTGAAATTTGGCTTATTCAAAAAAAAAAAACATTAAAATTGTTTGTAAAATAAAGAAATCAAAGTCATATGTTCATCCTGATTCCAAATTCAAATACGTCCTGAACTTAATCTTAATTTGGAACACACTAGTGTTCATGTGCATTACATGCTACCGGACAATTTGAGAAATGCTGTTTTTCCTCATCTCCAATTACATTAAAACTTTGATTTTAAGACGATGATCAGAAAATAACGAAACTGTAACAGTTGATATGATTACCAA